TTTCTACCTACCTACCTACCTACTACTTATCTATCTATCTGTCCGTCTATCTTTCTACCTATCAGTGTCTGTTTGTCTGACTACACATCGTTGACAGCCTCACTCGTTTCTCCATTCTCTCCCCTCCCTCCCTATCGCTTTACCTATATTCCCTCTCTCTCGCCATTTTTACCCCTTTTCTCTCTCCTTTTTTTCTCCCCGCCCCTTCTTCTCTCCCTTTCCTCTCCCCTTGTTCTTTCTTCTCTCTCCTTCTTCTCTCATTTTTTCTCTCCCCTTTTTCTCTCATTTTTTCTTCTCCCCTTCTCCTCTCATTTTTTTCTCTACCTTTTTCCTCCCCCTTCTCCTGTTACCGGGACGCCCGCCCGGTCGTTGCAACAGCCACCCGTCGGACATTGCGCCCATGGGTGTGTGTGCTCGTCTGTCAGGAAGGCGAGGGCGGGCGGGGGAGGGGTGGTGGGGGGGTGGAGAGAGGGGGAGAGGACCGGGGGAAGTGTGACATGGGTCTGCATGACTTTCTTTTATTTATTTTTTCATTTTTTTATTTTTTATTTTTTTTTATTTATTTATTTTGTTTTCCTATGTCCTTCTGATTCTTGTTCTTTTTCTATCTTTCGCTTTTTGCTGTCTGTTGTGTGTGTGTGTCCTGTCTGTCTGTCTGTTGTCTGTCTCTCTCGACTAAATCAAGACACAAAGCTAAATGAATAGATAAACAATCACATTACTTACTTACGCTAAAAGTCATGAGAGAAGGAGAAGAAGAAGAAGAAGAAGAAAAGAAGAAGAAGAAGAAGAAGAAGAAGAAGAAGAAGAGGGAGAGAAAGAGGCTGCCGGAGGCGATCACGTGACCACTGAGACCTTCTGTCAACTCTCCAAGGGTCAGGGTTGCGGGGGGGGGGGGGGGATTTTTTGCCATCAGTTTTCTACATTTAAGAAATATAGGAATAAAAATGCAAACACCACACACACACCACACACACACACACACACACACAACACACACACACACACACATATATATATATATATATATATATATATATATATATATACATATAATACCATATATACAATATACAATATATAATATATTATATAATATTATATATATATATATATAATATATAATAATATATATATATATCATATTATTGATTCGTTTATCTTGTCTATCCCAT